TTAGCTCTAAACAACGACAATAAAATTCTAATCACCATTGGTTTTGTCTTTTAAATGCAAACATGGCAGAGGATGTCAGTGAATAGGAGCTGTAGGTCCTCCTTGGATAGTAATGTGGGAGAACACAGTTTTACAGCATTTAAGCATAAATGTGTGTGTAGAGGGCAAATGGCCAAGCACTGCAGGGCCCGTGCCAAGGACGGGAGAGGACATCAGGACCAGACTTGGCAGCTGCCAGGCTGCGAAGTGTCCATGGCCCTTACACAAGAAGTCAACAATTCCTGCTTGGTATCCCCTTAATGAATACACGGTCTCTTTCCTTTTTGCTTTGTAAAAATAAATCTCTTCAGTTTGTAATAAATGCCAAATATGTAGGCCAAACAATTCATTTGAATTAGTTTGGTCATTCCATTAAAATTCTACCCCTAAATAATCAATTTTAACATCAATATGACATTGTATAGTATTCTCAGAGTAGCATTTTGTGCTTTCTTCAACATCATTCAAAATAATGACATAGCTTAGACATCCGGAGAAAACTTCATAGATAAGAAATTTTCACATTCACCAGCTGTGGCCACTCTTCCAAACTGAGGTCCCTGCTGATCGTGCATTTGTGGGAGTGCTTTGGATTTTCTAATTATGTGGCCCATACATTTTGTTTTGGTCAGTTAATTATAAAACAAGTCAATCTGTATTCCCTCTTGGCAAATTATAATTAAAATTTGCCAATATCAGCAGTTTCACTTCATGCTAGAATTTAACATTTCACATTTTGCCTTTGTTCTGAATCAGTTTTAAAGATTTTAAGTGAAATGAAAATTTTATGGAAATAACCTTTCAACATTTTTTTCTGTTACTTTATTTCCTAGCACTCAAGCTGCAGTAGTACATCACAAGGACATAATACACCATCTCAAATCATGTCCTAGCAGGACATGTGATGTTGTTCTGACTATTTCAACAAGATTAGAAGATAAGCAGTTAGCAATATCTGTGTATAAATTCTGTACATTGAAATGAATTGTTTCTCTGATTGGCACAGAGAAGCCTGAGCTTTCCACATTCAAAGTATAAATCAAATGAAAACATGAAGATATTTCTTCTTTTGGATTTAAAGTTCTCTTCAGCATTAAGTTAATTAAAAGAGAAAAAATATATCTAGGAGAAGAACCCAGGATTATTAATGAAGAATTTATTTAGGTGCAGTCACACGTATTTCTTTATTCCTGATAAAATCTTGTTGTATGTTTGCTTACTGCTTCATGCCTTCATTTAATAAATAATAACATAATAAATCTCTACTTAAAGGAAATCGTTTGATCTTTTTAAGAAGAGAATTATTTGAGAATTTTCAGGAATTTGGAAAGTTATCTGTCCTAATGATATCCAATTCTAAGTGGATTACCCCGTTAAAGAGAAACGCATGGTACTTGGAGGATCATTTTTACTTTTTGAGGAAGACATAATATAAAGGCCGTGACTGAATTTGCAAGTGTAATGATAGCTATGATAACCCAGTGAGAATTTATTACAGTAACAGACCAAACACATCAACAGATTTGACACTAAGAACATAACACTGCAGTCAAGATCTGTACTTAAGCTTCAACTGTAATGACCAAAGTTAAGCGTGGCTACAGAAAATTAACAAGAAAAATAAGAGATCTAGAGGCACCACGTAATTTAACTAAGGAGTTTCTACCTGCGCATAAAGGAAAATAACAAAAAGCCTCATATTTACAGAGCAGAGTTTCTTACTTGAAGGACCCAGTCTCTTGAAGATGATACACTTCTCATACTACAGAAAGTAAGACGTGTATGGTCTTGAAGAAGAAGGAGCTCAAAATGATCACGTATGGCCACTAGCAGTGTGAAAAGTACGGCTTCATAGTATAAGAATACTCCATAAAAGCTACTCTAATATAATAAGCGATAGAATAGTTGGTAAATATTTGTCAAGCATGTCATTAAAACAGGAAATGATTTTTCAAACAAACTGGGTTTGTAAAGCTGCCAAGTAAGGAGGAAAAGAACGGGAAGAAAGAATAAATAGACGGGGTAATAATTAACATGACTTATCTCACTTTTATTAGACAGTTTGCCATGAAAGATGAGGAATTGGGGGCTACAGTAGCATATATTACACACATACATTACTGCAGCTCGTCCATATTACAGTGGAAGGAGATTGAGACCTGCAGAATCTGAGAAAGGCTGAATTTCAGAAGCTTTTGGGAAAAGATCCATGCTGTTCTCAAGAGTAACCCCAAAAACTCATATAACCCAGGGAGGAAATGTAGCTTCCTTAGCTGTTATGGGTGTACAATGCGCATCACTTGGCCCTATTTTCTTTGAATAATCAATGTATTTCTACTGTAGTTTCATTATAGTTTTTATATAAGTATGAAATTTTTTTCATCTTAAAGTGGTTGAATACATTCTTAGCTTGTATAAAAATACTCAGTAGTTTATAAAATTAATTAATTGTAATTGTATGTTCCCTTTTTTCCTGGATTGCCCTGATGTACAGATTTAAATTTTTTTCCATATTTGAGAAGCGAAGAAGCTCCCAACCTCTGCTTTCCACAGAAAATTTGCATGACCATGTCTGTCCCACTGGGAAAGTAAATGTAATGTTGAGTTTGATTCATGTGATTTGTCAATATAATTAAAATAAATTGAATCATTATGATTTTTTGGATGTGTGTTGGGACTGTGGCCAACATAAGACATGACCAGCACTGTAGATGGTCTCTGTGGCCTGGAAGATGAAATTCCAATTTTAGCAATTCCGGCCTGACCCAAAAGGCATCTTGCCCCCTTAGGGGAGATAGGAATTATGTTTCTGTGCTTCATGACTTTTTTTTTGTAGGGTGAGGACCAGTTAGGCAGCATCCCTTCTGGACAGCAGAATGAATAAAAGTGTTGCCATGCCACTTGGTCACTGGGAAATATGCTGCATTAACCATGGAAGTGCTGTAGAAAGCTAACACCCACACTGTCCACTGTGCGATTGCTGTGTCAGGCTTAATGGCTGGTTTGTTTCTTTTCCTCTTACTTAGAGGTCGTGTTGCTTTGGGGTTGGTCTCTGACACTGTACCTTGCTTGGCAGCAGAGTGGCACCAAGGAACTGCGGCTCTGGTGGGGAAGGGCTGGGATGTGATGGTTTTGACCACAGGCCACTGTTGTGTCAAGGATTTAAAGTCTACACTAAACTTCTGTCTGCTTGTTGCCACTCATCTTTTGCCACCATTTCTATCGGGGGGCTGTGTCAGAAACTGTGGCAAAGGGAAATTTTAAAGAATAGCTAACTTTGAAAGGCTCTGGGGAGGTTACAGGGCCTCTGGGTGTTTTCCTAACAGACAAGATTTTTTGAAAAATTCAAGAAAAGTTTAAAAATATTTTCTTTTTTTCTCTGCTCCTTTTGCTTTACCTCAGTAGGCAGTTTAGTTTTGGAAGATCACTGTAACATAGCAGATGTATTTGGACTCCTGTAATCAAAATATCCCTCGGAGAGTAATTTTCTTTATGTCAGTTCAAAGACTGCTTATTGAACTCTATGCTGTAACTGTTACAGGCTTCGGGAAAGGAAAAAAAAACATTTGGAAAGTTAAAATTCACCTTTGTTTCAAACTGTCAGTTTAGTGACAACTATTGTTTGCTCTAAGAGTTGTTAAACGTGGGCTGCTGCATCACTTGTGACGGGGCAATTTGGTTGTTACACAGACACAAACCATGGCAGAATTTGGTCCTACCCAGGACACGCTGACACACTACGACAGGCGCGTGACCGCTGTTCTCAGCTGTAATCTCTATTCTCTATTTTTCTTGTAGCTGTGAATTTATATCAAAAGGCAGGCGCTGCAGTCAGCTATAGTGATCTTTTTCAACTAGAATGTCGCATGTCTGTCAGTGAATTGTAAATGCCCTAGAAAACTATGCCTTAGTGTGTGATTCCCATGTCAGTTTATGAAAGGATGGAGGGTGACTCTGAAAAGCAGAATATAGAAATTCAATGTTTTGTTTGGCTTTTGCCATCTTATGATCTAATATTTATGCGTTAAGTGGTATGTGGCAGTTATTCTGTGCTTCTTTCCTCTGCTAATGTCAGGAAAATACAAGCAGTAACCAGGGGGTTAAATTCCTGCTCGAGAGGCATATTTTTGGATTTACGTTTTTGTAAGAGAGCTTGGAGCAGAGCTCAGCGCTTTGCAGCAGAGGGAAGCGCTGCGTGACAGAGCCGAGCATCTGAGGGAAACGGGGCTCATAGCAGACATACATGACGGGAACGAGACGCTGTACCAGCTCTTCCAGTTTCACAGGGACCCTGCGTTTTCCAGCTGTTTACCCTTGAGATGTAAAATGGCAATTTGGCATAGGCTAACAACCCGGTGTGATGCGAGCATCTGCGTAAAAGGCTGCACATATGGAGCATGCCCAGTGATATGAACAGCCTGTTACCCCACCCCCAGCCAATCTAGGAAGAGATGAAATGAACTTTGCACTTGCAAATGTCACTGAATACATTTTGCACAGCATTTTAAAAGGTTCTCTTATAAGCACTATTTTTAACAGCCAAATCCGCCCCCCAAAACAGAAAGGAAAAACCCTAGGTATTTTTCTGTGATCGATCTCAGTTTATGATCAATTGAAGCATCTCTCACAACATTTACCTGAAGCCTGGCTTATTTTACCTTTTTTATCATTCGAGTTGAGATTTTTGGAGGTGGTGTGGATTTTTTGGGGTTTTTTTTGGATTTGGTTTTTTTTTATTTCTTTTTTTTACTGGCATGAGAAAATTTGAGAATTTAATTGCAGTAGAATACTTGGAAACAGTGAGGCTACAAGCTTGAAAGGCAGAGGGAAGAGAAGGAAGGCTCTCAGAGCAGAGCATGGATAGGAAAGGAGCAGTGATTCTGCGGTGCTCAGTGTGCACATGTTTTATGAGATCAGTGCCGGGCGCTGCAGCTGCGGACAATAACTGAGCTGTCTGGCTAATGAAGGCCACCTGGATCAGGCTTCTGAAAAGAGCCAAAGGAGGACGTCTGAAGAATTCTGATATCTGTGTAAGCCCTACGTTTTCATTATCGGCATATATTGTGTGTATTGCAGAGAGGGAGAGGAGAAAAGACGGTGAGGACAGTTGTTTTCATTCTGAGCAAATTAGCAGGACTCTATTTTGTATGCAGGGAGATGCAGAGGGAAAGCAGAGCTGTCATTATTTATAGAGCTGTTCTGGCATTGTGGCTGCTTCCATTGTGGCGATACGGGGACATGTGTTGAGTCCAGACGGATTTTATTAGTTGGAAGTTGATTTGTGGTCATTTGCATGTTTTGCTGAAGGGCAGAGATGGATACGAGCCATTTGCAGTTCTGATGGGTAAAGTGTGTCAGGTAAAGAGGTTGCCCTAAAATAAAAATGGATAGCAGAGGTTAAATCTGTTAGCAGTGGTATTGTGTAATGGTAATTATTGATAGTGATTTTGCACTTTTATTGGAAAGTCTGTTTCCTTGCTAATGCTGTCACTGTTTAGAGTTTTAATTTTTATGGAGCCATCCTTGAAGCTGGTATGTGTCCTTCAGCCCTGCACTGCACCACTGCTGTAACTCTACAGAGCAACTGACTGTGCTTGCTGAAAAGCACACAAATAAGAGCACAGGGATGGTGCAGGAAATAAAACACTGGGGAAGACACCTGGGCTTTTGGAAAGGCTCCAGAAGAAAGCATTTACCTAGACATAATTTTTCTAAGTGACTTTCCTTTTTGGGCAGTTACTCTCTTTTCAGGGATGCAGAAGTAAGAGAAAAGGCAAGGTGCATAACCACTTCTACTTCTTTGGGGTTTGGGGTTTTTTTGAACACTGAAGCAACCTGTGACATTATTTTGCCCCTTCTTGTGCAGGGTTCGGCGGACTCCTACACCAGCCGTCCATCCGATTCAGATGTATCTCTGGAAGAAGACAGGGAAGCAGTGCGGAGAGAGGCAGAGCGACAGGCCCAGGCACAGCTGGAAAAAGCAAAGGTAAGGTATTACTTCATGTCACAGACTCATAAAATGTTCAGCTTTAAAAGACTGTCACCTTATCCATTACTGTTTTTAATGTGTTAACATATAGCATAAGACCTCTTGTGAAGAGTTTCCTGACAGCAGTAGAAAATATGTTTTCCAGGAAAAATCACTTAGAATCAGTTTTCCATAAAAGGCACTTGACTGGCTTGCATATTTCAGAATAATCTTATTTAATGTATGCTTTTTTTTTTTTCTTATTGAATATACCTGCTTATTTGCAGTGTATAGGGTCAAAGCTTTGAGTTCTTACTGAAGGTGTTTGTGGAAGTTTGCCCGTGGATCGCTGTGGCACTCAGAACTTGCAGTTTTAGAAATCAGCCCTCAAACATCCTATTCATCTTCCATCAATGAAGGATCGGTCCCTACAAGTCATAAATAGGGAGAATCTGTTACAAGGGTCTTTTTTGCCTCAAGGCTTCACTGGCTTGCTTTGCAGTTTGTGTGTTAAATGACCCTGTGAGTAATATGCTCTAGGACTTGTTAAGATATCTCCATGCTCCTGGCAGATAGTGACAGTTTAGTAAGGAAATACTAAATGAACTTTGGGTTCTTGCTGTGTGTTTATATATTTTCCACGAGATGCATTTAGGACTGTGAGGGTTTTAGCAGTGAAGGGGTATGAGCTTGTTTTTCTTTCATCCTTAGTGTATCTTTAAGTACTATTGTACCTGTAAAAATCATACTCATTTTATTTGTTATCTTTTTTTATCACATTGTTCCAGTTTTTCTTTTTTGTATGCGATCTGCCAGATCTCGGTGCATCACTATTTTCCAAGATCTGTTTTTCTTTTTCATTTCTCATATTTAAATACAATGTTGGATCCCTCCTCAGATCTACCTGATCTACATTTCTCCCTCACTTTCTCTCCAGCTCCCCTCCTCCATTTTGCCTTGTTTTTTATTTCCCTATCTCCCTTCCATCTCCCATTCTGTTTCCTTTTCCACTGCCAGCTTTGCCTCTGCCCATTTACACCACCTGTTTTACAAGGGTTCTTCAGAGGCTCAGGAGTCCAGATCATTGAGCAATGCACCTGATGATAATGCGAGGGCCAGCTCCATAAATAATGCAGTACTATAATGCACAAGCAGACAGCTTCATCGGGCCAGAAAACTTGAACAGGGAAGCCAAAGATTTTTATTTTTTTTTAACATGAGATTGTTGACTGATATTTAATAAGAGCTCCTAAAGCAGCTTTTAAATGAGATGCTGGAACTTGCCAAGAGATCCTGAACATCTCTTTGAAGTCAGGCCCTGCTGTCCTGGGATCAGTATAGCAGAAACTCGACAGAAGCAGCCCCCTTCTTCACTTCCACCTTGTATCTTAGAGATGTTGCTGATCGTAATCAGGAGTTTCAGTTTTATCAGGGTTGCTTTTTGCTAGTTTGAGATTTCTTTGCTGCTAGGAAGCGTGATAAAGGCTGCCCTGAAATTCAGGTGAAGTATTGAATTTTATCGGTAAATGCACAATCTTTAAAAGAAGAGTTGAAGTAATAATATCTTGCAGACTAAGCAGGGTAGCAGTACAGCACTTGCTGCTGAACTGATGCATCTCTTAGCGATGAGTAAATCTATGCGAGTGTTGCTATGGGAATTTGGCTTACTGATGCTGGCTTGAATGCATGGACAGCCCTTATGTAATATTCATGACCTCTAGCACAGCTGCCATTGTAGTTTGTGGAGAAACTGCTTAGCAGACCCTGACTTTCAAAAACTGTATTTCTATACATCAAAGCAATGTTCTCACTCCAGCTGGCATAAGATACAGTCTCTAGGTCTGACACCGTCTGAGGCTGTAAGACAACTTGTGAACAGTCAAAGTAGCAAAGGCACTGCCAAAATCAACCTGCTGTAACAATGGGTAAATCCAGTCATATAGAAAACACAAAGTTAATTATTTAACTCATTTGGGCTTTAAAATGGATTAAAGTTGGAACTACATTAGCAGTTTTGTTTCTTGAGTCAAATGTTAAAAATCATTCCAGGCTGTAATGTATGGAACTAATTTTATGTAGAGGCTATAACAGTGTAATATTTGGTCTAGTGTCATATTTAAATTAACAATATTAAATAAAATATTATATGCATCTGGTGCTTACGTTTGAAATAACTGTTTAAAAAGGCGTAAATTAAACCTAACACAGTAGATCTAAACTATGACAGGGTGTGCTTTTCTGCCTTTATTGGTGACTCAGTTCTTCACCTCCCTGAAAGACAGTAAAATTAACGAAGCGGTTACTTCTGCGGGCGCTGCCCGGCTCCTGCGTGCACCCAGACCTGTTTCCCGCAGGCAGCAGGTTTTGCTCTCCATGGCTGCCTCGCCTTTGCCCTGGGAGAGGCAGAGCCAAGTGACGCAGGTGCTTTAACTTTTTGCCTTTTAATATTGTGAGTGGAAGTGTTGATCCTAAAGAAAGTCATTACAATTGTATTTGTCACAGGAATTAGAAGAGGATGACATACATGAATAATGCAGCGGTGGAGGGAAAATGATAGTGAATTAAGGGTAGATAAAAAAACTGTTGAACCGTGCCACGCACTTAATGAAAACAGTTTAATGACATCCATTTTCCTTCCTTACAGCTAGGGAAAACACCTTAAACTGAAGAGAAAAATATAGTAATAAAGCACACAATGGCAAATTGTTAGGAGGGTTTTAAGATTTTTAAATTTGGATTTTTATGGATTCTAAGTGTTTGTGTAACATGAAGCCAGAATAGATATGCATATCTGATACGTATCCAAACAGAAAAATAAAACAAAAAAAAAGCTTGTAAGAAAAGACACATTCTGGCCATTTTTATGTATTTATTTATTTTAGACAAGCATCGCTTCTCTGGAAAATGGTTAAGCATATTTTGCTGACTCACTCTGGCATGTGACTTACTGTAAGGAAGGTGGGGCAATGGGCGCATGTACAGAGTCGTCCAGGGATGGAAAATTAAGGGGCAACTGATGAGGCTACCTGCAGGCCGACAGGGCTATTCCCAGGGGAAACAAATCTTCAAATGAAGCTGTTAAGCTCAAAGCTGAGATAAAATGTTCAGGATTAGAACAGTTTAGCGATGCAAATGCAGAGGGGTTGGGTTTGGGTTTGGTTTTTTTGTTTTGTTTTTTAAAAAAGAAAAAATAACCCTTCAAGGCATTGAGGATTTCCTGAGAATCCTTCTCATAGTCCATGGCTTGTGGCTATCTCTAGGATAAAGAGGCCTGCCTTGTGGCTGAGTAGGGCGCCCTAATAATGCCCAAATCTGAGGACGTGTACTGCTATTTTACTGAATTTCCTGTTTCCAAAAAAAAGTTAGTCTTAAGCATTCACAAGCCAAAAACTAAATAAGAAGCCCAATGACATTAATTGCTTTTAGTGTTAATATTTTTTTAAATTGTCATTTCTCCAGAAAAAAAGCTTTTTGGTTTTGAAAGGTGAGGATTAAAAATAAATGATAGTAAGTAAAGATTTTTTTTTGTCCATTACTTGCAAGTATTCAATTAATTATCCTTTAAAATATTGCACCGAGAGGGATGACATCAAAGGAAAACTGTGAGGTACAAGTATTAGTGAGACCTTAAAATTCAGCACTAAATGAGCTCAAGTTTGTACATAAGAAAGGGGACTTCAGTAATGATTTTTGGCACTCTCCAATGCCAGTAAAATCAATTCAAATATTCTGTTGATTTGTTTTGCCTCAAGCACATCATGCGTTATGAACTAGTTTTGACTGAAATACCGTTAGTCAGGTGGTCTGTAAACCTCTTTCTTCTCTTCTGCAAGAGTAACAACTTCTCTTCAGTTTCTTCTCCTCAAATTTTTAGATTTTGCCTCTTCATTTCTTTTTTTTCCTCCCATGGCTTTAGAGCTCTGTATGCAGAAAAAATTTTCAAATGAGATATATACAATATTTTCAGCATTTTGGAAAATGAATTTTTTTTCAGTTATTTTGAGTACCTTGGTTATTTAATGTGCCAGTTAATAACTCGGGTTCTGTTTCTCACCTGGGACAAAGGGAGAGCCCCATGTTCTTCGTTTGCTGTTAAGGATTGCTCGCAACATCCTTTGGTCCTGAAACTTTTTAAATGGCTGTCAAAGTCAGATCCTGGCCTTCCAGAAGTCTGTAATTGTGTCCATAATAGTAAATATCAGTTCTTCTCAGCTCTGCTTTCTTTGCACTCCACCCAATGCTCTACTGCTAGCATCCTTTTAGGAGTCTGTTAAAACTTGAAGGTTCCATAATCCTAGTTTAAAATGCCATTTAAATAATTTTTATGTTAAAATGGTGAACCACTGAAATTTTGATGCCAGACATCACTTTATTGGCTCTTGGGCAATAATAGAAGCTGAGGTCTTTTGCTTTCTTGATGTGCGCTGTAGTAGTGGCGATGGCTTGTGACTGAGTAATAATGCAATGTCTTAAGTGTAACGCATTGCCTCCATGCATGGGTTGGGGACGACAGCCTTGAAACATGTAGCAGGCTGGGATAATGCCTACATATCCCTGCAAGGCTGAAGGCATGAAAAAGATTGTCAGATGTAATTACCCAGTGCAGTGTGCCAAGACTAGTTATTTAAGTATTTATTCACTCTCAGACAGGTTTCACAGCCTCTGAATGACCCCATGCTGCTAGCAGGCAGCTGCAAAGCTAGTTAAGGTATGTCTACTTAAGCTGCAGGAGCATTTTTGACAGGCCAGAAATGCCCATCACCTTGACGTGTGTCCTTACATTATGTCAGCTTGTTCCATCATAGATACTCTTTCCATTTTCTCTCAATTATGAGAATGTCATGGTGCTGAACAGCACCCAAAGCCATAGCAGCATAGGATAGTACTTTGTGTTAGCTGTTGTGTATGGTAATATTTTTTTTTCATTGATTTCTTCCTCATTTGCCCATTTGTTTTAGAATACTTCCATTGCATGTTATCATTTAGATAGCTAATGTTGCGTGTCAGAGTTGCTGGGA